GGCCCCTGCGGGGATAGTGGATTTGGCGCTCGGAGGAGACGTGGGACGCTGCACATGTCCATCTGCAGCGGGCCATCAGTCGTCAAAAGCTGGAGCCGCGCGTCAAGGGGGGGGTACTGTCACGGATTCTGCCGAGGCTGCTCCTCCTCCTTGTTCGGGCAGGCTTCGGCGTTCGTCGTCCCCGGAGTACTAGCTGCCACCGTTGAATGTTTCTATGTTTGATTGCTTTTGTCTGTCTATTGCACCTGTGTCCGTTTGTGTCTGATTATGTGTTCTATAAGTTGCCTGTTTTGTATTGGTTAGGTTGTGTGTTGTTTTTCGCATGTCAGTTAGTGCTGCGTGTTTGCTCTGTTTGTTGTTTTGGAGTTTACGCACAGTTTGCGTAATCGCTCGCCTCTGTGTGTTTTTGAGGCCGTTTATTGTATTTTGCCTAGTGGTTAACTAGTAAACTTTGTTGGACTAAGCTTCGGTGTCCTGCGCCTGACTTCCACACCACACTTACATCAGCCCCTGACAACTCTGCATTGTTGGGAAAGGGCTCGTAAGTAAGCGTTTCACAGTAAAGTCTATACCTGTTGTATTCGGCGCATATGACAAATACAATTTTATTTTAGGTTTTTACCTTCCTGCTACACTGGACACTTAACTTTAGCCCTAGGACAACCCAGCCAACCAGCCAGCCAGCCAGCCAGCCAGCACCAGCCAGGTAGCCAGCACCAGCCAGCCAGCATCAGCCAGCCAGCACCAGTCAGGCAGCCAGCCAGCCAGCCAGCACCAGCCAGGCAGCCAGCACCAGCCAGCCAGCCAGCACCAGCCAGCCAGCCAGCCAGCCAGCACCATTCAGTCATTCTAAAGCTATAGATATCCCCTCCCTTACTGCATCATCAAAGACACGTATAATCATATATATTAAATGTAGAATCTAAACCTTAAACCACACACACACACACACACACACACACAGGCTTTACTCAGCACTTCTCTATCTAGCTCCTGTACTAACTAGTGTGTAATTACACTGGCTTGGCGTGGGCACTGCCCTATGGTGAGTAGAGTAGTATACGCTGCAGTCCAAACAGCACTTTATTCCCTATATAGTGCACTACTTTTGACCAGAGCACCCTAATCCCTATATCGTAATTTTTTTTCAAAAGTAGTGTAGTATATAGTGAATAGGGTGCCGTTTGGGACACAACCGTAGAGCAGTGAATGGGGTGGAATGTTCCCTAAATAGATCAGGCACTGGCAAGGCAGCCTCGATGGGGAAGTTCTAGCCGGAACCCTCGGGAAAGCCCTGACTTCTGTCTCAACGGTGACAAGAACTCTTTCTGCCTCTGTCATCAGTCTGTCCTTCTCTCTCTCTAACTCACTTTCTCAATCCTTCCTCTCTTCCCTCTGGGGATGGCGAGGTGACAAGGATATGAGACAAGGAGAGGATACAAGGAGAGGAGACAAGGAGAGGTGACAAGGAGATGAGACAAGGAGAGGAGACAAGGGATGGAGACAAGGAGAGTGGACATGGAGAGAAGACAAGGAGAGTAGACAAGGAGAGGAGACAAGGGGAGGAGACAAAAGGTAGTGGAATGGAGTAATGTCTTAGAGTGGGGTGGGAAGAATGCAATACACTCCCTTGTATGAGGTACAAATCACATTATTTTGGGAGCACCTCCTCTAAGAATATGAATTAGGCTCCTAAGAAACCTGCCTACATATTGTTGGAAGTACATAGCCCAACATAGCTACTGTGGTAGGTCAAAGCTGTGTGCTGGAAAACCTTGGTAGTGCATGGGTCAAGTACGCATTCTGAATTTCCTTTCTTTTTCGGCTTCAGCCCAATGCCTACTTCTCACTTAAAACAGTTTTTTTTGTTTTCAATATAGATACACTGAGTGTACAAAACATTAGGAACACCTTCATAATATTGAGTTGCACCCCCTTTTGCCCTCAGAAGAGCCTCAATACGTCAGGGCATGGACTCTACAAGGTGTCGAAAGCGTTCCACAGGGATGCTGGCCCATGTTGACTCCAATGCTTCCCACAGTTGTGTCAAGTTGGCTGGATGTCCTTTGGATGGTGGACCATTCTTGATACACACGGGAAACTGTTGAGCATGAAAAACCCAGCAGCGTTGCAGTTCTTGACACAAACTGGTGCGCCTGGCACCTACTACATACCCCTTTCAAAGGCACTTAAATATTTTGTCTTGCCCATTCACCCTCTGAATGGCACACATACACAATCCGTGTCTCAATTGTCTCAAGGCTTAAAAATCCTTCTTTAACCTGTCTCCTCCCCTTCATCTACACTAATTGAAGTGGATTTAACAGGTGACATCAATAAGGGATCATAGCTTTCACCTGGATTTACCTGGTCAGTCTATGTCATGGAAAGAGCAGGTGTTTTGAACAATCAGTGTATCTCCCCTCTGTAAATTGTATATTCCCACTGCAATCAGCCTCTACTCCAGAGTTGTATCTTTTATGTTCACTGCTCTGATATTGTATATTCTGTATGATGTCTGTGTTCTGTTTGTATACTGACAAAGACCCTTCTCACCGAAGCAGCCGCTTCTCACTGAGGTAGCCCCTTCTCACTGAGGCAGCCCCTTCTCACTGAGGCAGGTGCCGTAGGTCTCTATATAGGGAATAGGGTACCATTTGGGATGCATTCACTATGAGACTCACCTTCTAGGGTGCAGTATCGAGGAATGGTCTCAGGCATCAGTGTCCTCTCCTTGTGTCTGCAGTACACCTCAGCTATCTGCTGACGACACTCCCTGGTCTTGGCTCTGGACAGAGCCGAGATGGCCTCCTTCCCACTGATCTCACACTGGTGCTGCTCCCTCCGCTGCCCCAACACAGGAGCTGCAGTCACCGACTTCCTGGGTTGGTGATGTCGCTGATGCTGATTGGATGTTTTGATGGAGGGAGAGAGGGAAGGTTTAGTGGGGTGTGGTCTGTGTGGTTTGAGCTGCTGTGGAGGAAGAGGGTACTGCTGATTGACCTCGTTGACCTCGTTGGGTACTGCTCGTTGACCTCGTTGCGTTAGGGCCTTGTCCGGTTTGTGCTTGGCTGTGTTTCCTGCCGGTCGCAGGCGCTGAGACTGTGAACGCGCCCCGAGGTTGCTGTTGCTGTCGACAACGGTGTCAAAGTCTTTGGGGACCGAGTTCTCGTTGTTGTTACTATCCAGGAAGACTTTTTCCTTGGGCCGCCGGGAGTGGTAGCCCTCCTGGAGAAGAGAGAGAGAGGAGGGAGAAAGAGGGGGGACAGAGTGGGGAGAGAGGGCAGGAGAGAGTGATTAAGGGGAGGGGGAGGGAAGAGGAGGGGGAGGAGGGAAATAGAGAGAGAGTCAGTCAGTGTAACAATAGGAAAAGAGAGTACACTGAGTTCTGTAGGACAGAGACACAGAGAGAATGAGTATATATCCATACCTGTATCCATACCTGTATGTATAAGAGAGATATACAGATAGATATGTAGATATATATTAGGCTTGGGCGATATACCGTTTATACCGTATATGAAATACCGAAATACAGACGGTATGATTTTCAATACTGTTATTTAAAATAATATATATATATATATTTTGGGGGGCGGTTGGGGGCTCCCCTGCCTCGCGGGGGCTGCTGGGCTGCGTGAAAAACAGAAAAAAAGAAAAAAGAAAAAAAAACATAGATACAAGACAAAACAGCAAGCAAACCAACAATAAATAATTTAATGAAATAAGAAGTCTAATTGTCCTGTCTGTCCCGTCTCCCCTCTCCCTCCCCCCTTCTCTTTAGGTGCCACCCCTCCCTCCTCACCTCCCTCCCCATCTCTTTCCCCCCTCCCCCCTGTCTGTCTGCTTGTCTGTCTGTCTGCCTGCTTGGCTGACTGTCTGTCTGTCTGCTTGTCTGTCTGTCTGTCTGTCTTTCTGCTTGTCTGTCTGTCTGTCTGTCTGTCTGCTTGGCTGTCTGTCTGTCTGGCTGACTGACTGCTTGGCTGTCTGGCTGACTCCCTGCTTGGCTGTCTGTCTCTCTGTCTGCTTGTCTGTCTGTCTGTCTGTCTGTCTGTCTGTCTGTCTGTCTGTCTGTCTGTCTGTCTGCCTGGCTGTCTGTCTTTCTGCTTGGCTGTCTGTCTGTCTGCTTGGCTGTCTGTCTGGCTGTCTGTCTGACTGCCTGCTTGGCTGTCTGTCTGTCTGAACTTGTGTGTATCTGTGTCATGTGATCAAGCATGTGGAATGCTGTCACTCATAAGATATGTCTATGTCTGGGACGCTGACACAGGGGTTACAGGGGTTACAGTGTGTGTGTGTGTGTGTGCGTGCGTGCGTGTGTGCGTGCGTGCGAGTGTCAGTAACAACGCTATATGATCTGGTCGTGGTATTCCAAGGCACACAGACCAGCCCTGCCCATTCCAGGAATATCAATCGTGTGTGTGTGTGTCTAGTTCTGTTACTTAAGAATGAAAGGATCCCTCTGCCCAGAAATATACAGTACATGCAATGCAGTATCCAGACACCGTATAGACAGTCTTCAGTATACTGTACAGACACCTCAACACACACACACAAACACAAACACACACACACAAACACACACACACACTGGACAGGGCTGTGTGAATCTTGTCTAGGCAGGTAATTTCTGGTGATGATGCCAGGTCCGCAGGGAGTCTAGTTTTCCTCCATTTCCGCTCGGCTGCCCGGAGCCCTGTTCTGTGAGCTCGCAATGAGTCATCAAGCCACGGAGCAGGAGGGGAGGACCGAGCCGGCCGGGAGGATAGGGGACATAGAGAGTCAAAGGATGCAGAAAGGGAGGAGAGGAGGGTTGAGGAGGCAGAATCAGGAGATTGGAGGGAGAAGGATTGAGCAGAGGGAAGAGATGATAGGATGGAAGAGGAGAGAGTAGCGGGAGAGAGAGAGCGAAGGTTGCGACGGCGCATTACCATCTGAGTAGGGGCAGAGTGAGTAGTGTTGGAGGAGAGCGAGAGAGAAAAGGATACAAAGTAGTGGTCGGAGACTTGGAGGGGAGTTGCAGTGAGATTAGTAGAAGAACAGCATCTAGTAAAGATGAGGTCAAACGTATTGCCTGCCTTGTGAGTAGGGGGGGACGGTGAGAGGGTGAGGTCAAAAGAGGAGAGGAGTGGAAAGAAGGAGGCAGAGAGAAATTAGTCAAAGGTAGACGTAGGGAGGTTAAAGTCACCCAGAACTGTGAGGGGTGAGCCATCCTCAGGAAAGGAACTTATCAAGGCGTCAAGCTCATTGAAGAACTCTCCAAGGGAACCTGGAGGGCGATAAATGATAAGGATGTTAAGCTTGAATGGGCTAGTGACTGTGACAGCATGGAATTCAAATGAGGAGATAGACAGATGGGTCAGGGGAGAAAGAGAGAATGTCCACTTGGGAGAGATGAGGATTCCTGTGCCACCAATCCGCTGACCAGATGCTCTCGGGGTATGCGAGAACACATGGTCAGACGAGGAGAGAGCAGTAGGAGTAGCAGTGTTTTCTGTGGTAATCCATGTTTCCGTCAGCGCCAAGAAGTCGAGGGACTGGAGGATAGCATAGGCTGAGATGAACTCTGCCTTGTTGGCCGCAGAACGGCAGTTCCAGAGGCTGCCGGAGACCTGGAACTCCACGTGGGTCGTGCGTTCAGGGACCACCAGGTTAGAGTGGCAGCAGCCACGCGGTGTGAGGCGTTTGTATAGCCTGTGCTATACCACTGCCATTGCCATTTGTTTTGTCTTGTTTTCCACACACACGTGGTACATATCCCCTCATCAGTCTCTGTATAATTATTCCCTCTGCTCCCCCATGTCTTTGTGTGAGCATTATGTTACTTTTATCGCCGGGATATTCACCCGTGTGTTTTGTTTAGATTGACATTTCTTTTGTGTTTCTTCCATTTGCGAATAATCGCACCAACTGTTGTCACCTTCTCACCAAGCTGCTTGGCGATGGTCTTGTAGCCTATTCCAGCCTTGTGTAGGTCTACAATCTTGTCCCTGACATCCTTGGAGAGCTCTTTGGTCTTGGCCTTGGTGGAGAGTTTGGAATCTGATTGATTGATTGCTTCTGTGGACAGGTGTCTTTTATACAGGTAACAAGCTGAGATTCGGAGCACTCCCTTTAAGAGTGTGCTCCTAATCTCAGCTCGTTACCTGTATAAAAGACACCTGGGAGCCAGAAATCTTTCTGATTGAGAGGGGTCAAATACTTATTTCCCTCATTAAAATGCAAATCAATTTATAACATTTTTGACATGCGTTTTTCTGGATTTTGTTGTTGTTATTCTGTCTCTCACTGTTCAAATAAACCTACCATTAAAATTATAGACTGATCATTTCTTTGTCAGTGGGCAAACGTACAAAATCAGCAGGGGATCAAAAACTTTTTTCCCTCACTGTACACAGAGGATCTTGTCAATGATCTCAAGGCAGCTGGGACCATAGTCACCAAGAAAACAATTGGTTACACACTACGCCGTGAAGGACTGAAATCCTGCAGCGCCCGCAAGGTCCCCCTGCTCAAGAAAGCACATATACAGGGCCGTCTGAAGTTTGCCAATGAACATCTGAATGATTCAGAGGAGAACTGGGTGAAAGTGTTGTGGTCAGATGAGACCAAAATCGAGCTCTTTGGCATCAACTCAACTCGCCGTGTTTGGAGGAGGAGGAATGCTGCCTATGACCCCAAGAACACCATCTCCACCATCAAACATGGAGGTGGAAACATTATGCTTTGGGGGTGTTTTTCTGCTAAGGGGACAGGACAACTTCACCGCATCAAAGGGACGATGGACGGGGCCATGTACCATCAAATCTTGGGTGAGAAACTCCTTCCCTCAGCCAGGGCATTGAAAATGGGTCGTGGATGAGTATTCCAGTATGACAATGACCCAAAACACACAGCCAAGGCAACAAAGGAGTGGCTCAAGAAGAAGCACATTAAGGTCGTGGAGTGGCCTAGCCAGTCTCCAGACCTTAATCCCATAGAAAATCTGTGGAGGGAGCTGAAGGTTCGAGTTGCCAAACGTCAGCCTCAAAACCTTAATGACTTGGAGAAGATCTGCAAAGAGGAATGGAACAAAATCCCTCCTGAGATGTGTGCAAACCTGGTGACCAACTACAAGAAACGTCTGACCTCTGTGATTGCCAACCAGGGTTTTGCCACCAAGTACTAAGTCATGTTTTGCAGAGGGGTCAAATACTTATTTCCCTCATTAAAATGCAAATCAATTTATAACATTTTTGACATGCGTTTTTCTGGATTTTTTTGTTGTTATTCTGTCTCTCACTGTTCAAATAAACCTACCATTAAAATTATAGACTGATCATGTCTTTGTCAGTGGGCAAAGACAAGATTGGACAGCACAGAGTAAAAAAATAACAAAATAATATGTTTTCTTGTCACATCCACTGGTTAGGTGCAGTGAAATGTGTTGTTTTACAGGGTCAGTCATAGTAGTATGATAGGTGCAGTGTAATGTGTTGTTTTACAGGGTCAGTCATAGTAGTATGATAGGTGCAGTGAAATGTGTTGTTTTACAGGGTCAGCCATAGTAGTATGATAGGTGCAGGGTAATGTGCTGTTTTACAGGGTCAGTCATAGTTGTATGATAGGTGCAGTGTAATGTGTTGTTTTACAGGGTCAGTCATAGTAGTATGATAGGTGCAGTGTAATGTGTTGTTTTACAGGGTCAGTCATAGTAGTATGATAGGTGCAGTGTAATGTGTTGTTTTACAGGGTCAGTCATAGTAGTATGATAGGTGCAGTGTAATGTGTTGTTTTACAGGGTCAGTCATAGTAGTACGGTGCCCGTGGAGCAAATAAGGGTTAAGTGCCTTGCTCAAGGGCACATCGACAGATTTTTCACCTTGTCGGCTCAGGTATTCGAACCAGCGACCTTTGGGTTACTGGCCCAACGCTCTAAACGCTAGGCTACCTGTCGCCCATTTGTACAGTAAAAGTAGGGCATAGTTCAGTACAGTAGGGTATAGTTCAGTACAGTAGAATAGAGTATAGTACAGTATACAGTAGAGCACACTAGAGTTGAGTAAACTATAATGTACTGAACTATACTCTACCGTACTCTACAGACGTCTCTGATTGGTTCAGATTTGGTCCGGGCCAGACCAACCAAATGCGTTCTTGTTTGGGGGCGGAGCTCATTAAAATAATAGCCAGTGTGAAGAATAATACCCAAATATGCAAATCAGGATTTTGCATATTTCTACCTTTGTGTACCCATTTATATTATATATATATATATATATATATATCTATTTAGGACGCATCACCATGAAGAGAATTACATTTATTTCCATAATTATGCCTTTTCTGTGTAGTACAGATCAGGGACCCATGATGAAATTCCGTTACCGCAATTCTGTTACCGGGTGTAAATCCACTTCACTTACTGTAGTTCAATAACCAAAATATGTTTTTTTCCAAATTTGTCTGTGTGTGTGCTTGTGTGTGTGTGTTGGAATAAGGGTTGGAATAAGCAGCTGTGGGCGCCAAAAACTAGACACTACAGGAAATAGCTTGATAGTATGGGACAAATAACACACACACAGATATGCATACATAACACACACACACACACACACACACACACACACACACACACACACAAACACCCACACACTAAGACACACACACAGGTTAGTGATATCAGACTATGCGATTGGAACTGATGTGTAATATGATTTGTAATCTAATCCAGCGTTGATCATGTGATAATCCCATATGTGTGTGTGTGTGTTCGTCAGAGGCAGCAGTGAATGAATGCGAGAGTTGTGTTAAGGCCCCATCAGTAAACAAATGCTCTGCCTCGCGGTCACCATACCTTCCTATGCTGGGAGGGAACACATACACACACACACACACACACACACCACACACACACACACACACACACACACACAGAGGTGGCATTATGTGTGTGACTGTGTGTGTGTGTGTGTGTGACTGTGTGTGTGTGTGACTGTGTGTGTGTGTGACTGTGTATGTGCCCACTGTATTCCTGGCATGTAGTAGCTACTGTGGAAACATTATAGCCAGGTATGTCGGTAAACTGGAGAGACATTATAGCCAGGTATGTAGGTAAACTGTGGAGACATTATAGCCAGGTATGTAGGTAAACTGGAGAGACATTATAGCCAGGTATGTAGGTAAACTGGAGAGACATTATAGCCAGGTATGTAGGTAAACTGTGGTCGAGGTATTTATTTTCCCTGTGTTACAGTGGCAGCTTTGACGGAACCAGGTAATGAGACACACACACACACACACACTGCTCTGCTGGGTAACACCCCCAACACTCAGCAACGCAGGCTATCTACATGATTTGAACCTCAATACGAGAACACAAATAGAAGAAAATCATTGATAATGGGTGAGTGGGTGCTGGTTATTTAGATACTGGTAGTGAACAGAGGGGTGCTGGTTATTTAGATACTGGTAGTGTAATAACACACATACACACACACACACACACAGGCACACACACACAAACACACAGACACACACACACACAGACACGCGCACACACACACAGACACTCACACATGCACACACACACACACACACACACACACACACACACACGCACTCCTTCAACAGTAGCCTAGATCTGCACAGGGACATAAAACACTACTTAACAACCATGCACTCTGTCATCAAATATGAAGGAAGACAAGGAGGGAAAAAAATTGTACTCAAAATCACAGTCAGTTCTCTATAGTTTGGCACAACTTTAGTATCCTGGGAGAACGATAGAGAGGAAGTGTTCACGTGCGCACGTACCGTCTGTCGGTCTTTCAGACAGACCTCTACTCCGCATTCTCTCTCTCTCTCTCTCTCTCTCTCTCTCTCTCTCTCTCTCTCTCTCTCTCTCTCTCTCTCTCTCTCTCTCTCTCTCTCTCTCTTTCTCTCTAAATGAATCTTTAAACTCCTAACTAAACCTGTCTGTCTATATTATCCCACCCACGAGTCTACCACTGGACCAGAGACTGCCCAACACACACACACACACACACACTGATTGCGCCCGACAGTAGCCTACAGTAATAGCCAGGCTGGTCACTAGAAAACAGCCACAGGCCAGGCGTTATAGCAGCGCAAGAGCGCGTTACCAAACTCTACATCAAAGTAGGTCTATCCGATTAACCGTGTCGCTCTCTAACCTTCTCCCATGGTTCATTATCACACTAGACTACTATACCACGCTCATTCCTAAAGACTGGTTAGTTTACACCAGCTAATCAACATATATGGGTAACAACAGCTAAGCAACATCTTTGTCATCCAAATACACGCTGGCTTCTTGCTTCGTCTGATGACAACAATTCCATGCGTAACAGCCTTCCCACCCTACAATACAATATAGCCTACAATACAATACAATACAATACAATAAACCACGCGTAGTGGGGGATGGTAGCCTATACAATTAATCAGGAATGGTAGCATATAAAATGAATGATAATGACGCTAGTCGTTATTTACATTTACATTTACATCATTTAGCAGAGAGAGAGTCATCGATTTTAAAAATCGTCATTATTACTACTAAATAATAGGTAGACTTAAATTCGCTCCCTACTCTTACGGGTTGTTGCTTGTGTCGAACAGCCGCTTTCCCAAGCGGAGGTTGGTGATGCCTCTTTGGCAGCCCGCTCCGGGGGTACTGGCTGTAGGCTTTGTTGATGCCCCCGACTTGGTCCCTCTTCTCCCGGCTACTATTGGCCCCTTCTTCCCGGGTATCCAGGGTACTAAAGTTCCACACGATCAGTGTCTGAACCAGGAGAACTGTCAGCGCTACTATCAGCGCTGATTTGGAGCGGCGAGCCAGCTTGCGACCGCATAGATTGCCAACCATCTTTCTCGCTCTCCGTCTCCCGCTCTCTCTCTCTCTCTCTCTCGGCTCAAGCTGCGAGCTGCCGCCGTCCGCTAAGCGCTGACAGCAGGGGTGGCTGGGAGGATTTCAGCGCCGCCTGCGTCTATGGAGTGGAGCTACTGGCAGGGACTAGAGAGAGAGAGAGAGAGAGAGAGAGAGAAGACGTGAGGGAGGGAGGAAAAGGGGGGTGAATTGGCTAAGGTTTGAGATGAGGAGAGAGAGAAGGAGACTGAGAGAGAGAGGACACTGCGCACTCTTGTGGTGTTGTCCACACATGACCTCCTGTTTAAATGTCTAGTTTAGACCAGGGGTCAGCTTGCTACTCTTGTGGTGTTGTCCACACATGACCTCCTGTTTAAATGTCTAGTTTAGACCAGGGGTCAGCCTGCTACTGTTTACATGTAAGTCGTAAGTCGCTCTGGATAAGAGCGTCTGCTAAATGACCAAAAAAAAAAAAAAAAAAAAAAAAAAAAAAAAAAAATACATGTCTAGTTTAGACCAGGGGTCAGCTTGCTACTCTTGTGGTGTTGTCCACACATGACCTCCTGTTTAAATGTCTAGTTTAGACCAGGGGTCAGCCTGCTACTGTTTAAATGTCTAGTTTAGACCAGGGGTCAGCCTCCTACTCTTGTGGTGTTGTCCACACATGACCTCCTGTTTAAACATCTAGTTTAGACCAGGGGTCAGCCTGCTACAGGTCCTGGAGAGCTACAGGATGTGCAGGGCAGGTATTTGTTCCAGCTCAGCACTAACACACTCATTCAACTAATCCAGGTCTTGGTTGATCAGTTGTATCAGGGTTGTTAGTACCGGCTATAGGACCAAAGGCTACACCCAGGAACTCTCCAAGTTATCTCCCTGTGTGTGTATGATAGAGGGAGGGAGCGAGAGATTGAGGGAGGGAGAGAGATAGAGGGAGATAGAGGAGGAGAGAGAAGGGCAAGAGAGGGGATATGGAGAGAGAAGGAAGACCAACGTGGCCTGTTCTATAGTTAACCTGGTTTGACTCCTACTGGGAGTCTCTCTGTGCTGAGAGGCAGAACACCAAGAACACAAATAACAAACAACTCAACCACTAACTGGAAAGACAAGAAAAGGAGCTCGTCTTTTTCCAAAATAAAATATAATTTTTCCCAAATAAAGAGCCTAAGCTCTGTTGATCTGATAACATGTGGCATACAGTTGAAGTTGGAAGTTTACATACACTTCGGTTGGAGTCATTAAAACTATTTTTTTCAACCACTCCACACATTTCTTGTTAACAAACTATAGTTTTGGCAAGTCGGTTAGAACATCTACTTTGTGCATGACACAAGTAATTTTTCCAACAATTGTTTACAGACAGATTATTTCACTTATAATTCACTGTATCACAATTCCAGTGGGTCAGAAGTTTACATACACTAAGTTGACTGTGCCTTTAAACAGCTTGGAAAATTCCAGAAAATGATGTCATGGCTTTAGAAGCTTCTGATAGGCTAATTGACATCATTTGAGTCAATTGGAGGTGTATGTGGATGTATTTCAAGGCCTACCTTCAAACTCAGTGCCTCTTTGCTTGACATCATGAGACAATCAAAAGAAATCAGCCAAGACCTCAGCATTTTTTTTGTAGACCTCCACAAGTCTGGTTCATCCTTGGGAGCAATTTCCAAACACCTGAAGGTACCACGTTCATCTGTACAAACAATAGTACGCAAGTATAAACACCATGGGACCACGCAGCCGTCATACCGCTCAGGAAGGAGACACGTTCTGTCTCCTAGAGATGAACGTACTTCGGTGCGAAAAGTGCAAATCAATCCCAGAACAACAGCAAAGGACCTTGTGAAGATGCTGGAGCAAACAGGTACAAAAGTATCTATATCCACAGTAAAACTAGTTCTATATCGACATAACCTGAAAGGCCGCTCAGCAAGGAAGAAGCCACTGCTCCAAAACCGCCATATAAAAGCCAGACTATGGTTTGCAACTGCACATGGGGACAAAGATCGTACTTTTTGGAGAAATGTCCTCTGGTCTGATGAAACAAAAATATAACTGTTTGGCCATAATGACCATCGTTATGTTTGGAGGAAAAAGGGGGTGGCTTGCAAGCCGAAGAACACCATCTCAACCGTGAAGCACGGGGTGGCAGCATCATGCTGTGGGGGTGCTTTTCTGCAGGAGGGACTGGTGCACTTCACAAAATAGATGGCATCATGAAGAAGGAAAATTATGTGGATATATTGAAGCAACATCTCAAGACATCAGTCAGGAAGTTAAAGCTTGGTCGCAAATGGGTCTTCCAAATGGACAATGACCCCAAGCAGACTTCCAAAGTTGTGGCAAAATGGTTTAAGGACAACAAAGTCAAGGTATTGGAGAGGCCATCACAAAGCCCTGACCTCAATCCTATAGAGAATTTGTGGGCAGAACTGAAAAAGCGTGTGCGTGCAAGGAGGCCTACAAACCTGACTCAGTTACACCAGCTCTGTCAGGAGCAATAGGCCAAAATTTACCCAACTTATTGTGGGAAGCTTGTGGAAGGCTACCCGAAACGTTTGACCCAAGTTAAACAATTTAAAGGCAATGCTACCAAATACTAATTGAGTGTATTTAAACTTCTGACCCACTGGGAATGTGATGAAATAAATAAAAGCTTAAATAAATCATTCTCTCTACTATTATTCTGACATTTCACATTCTTAAAATAAAGTGGTGATCCTAACTGACCTAAGACAATTCAATTAATTCATGATTTAAGTGATAAATGTCTCATGAACAAGTATGCTGGGGCGGTTTGGTGGTTGGTTGGTTACCTACAGTAGCACTGAATTCTGATAAATCATTCAGATGACATTTGCCAAGGCTCACTCTCACCCCCACACTTTACAATCAAGTATGCACTTTATTTTATATTTGTATTTTGACTGGAAAAGGACTTTACAGATTGGTAGTTAGGATTATTATCAGCATTTCTGTTCAGAGTGTGTAGATGTGAGCATGTGTGTGTGTGCTCAGTGTGTGGGAGTATTATGTGCCCATATTAAATCATTTATGCAACTCTAGTGTGACCCAACCAGGAGCAGTCAACAAGGGCGACTCGCCGAGTCCAGTCGTGTGTGTGTGTGTGTGTGTCTGTGTGTGTGTCTGTGTGTCTGTGTGTATGTGTGAGTCCAGGGATGTAGTGAAGCATCAACTTAATTTATTTCCATGTAAAGAGGAAGGGGATACCTGGACAACTGAATGAATTCAACCCAAATATGTCTTCCACATTTAACCCAACCCCTCTGAATCAGAGAGGTGCACGGGGCAATAATAAAGTTATCCATAATAAATTTATCAATAATAAAGGACAATAATAAGGTTATCAATAATAAATGTATCAATAATAAAGGACAATAATAAGGTTATCAATAATAAATGTATCAATAATAAAGGACAATAATAAGGTTATCAATAATAAATGTATCAATAATAAAGGACAATAATAAAGTTATCAATAATAAATGTATCAATAATAAAGGACAACAATAAGGTTATCAATAATAAATGTATCAATAATAAAGGACAATAATAAGGTTATCAATAATAAATGTATCAATAATAAAGGACAATAATAAGTTATCAATAATAAATGTATCAATAATAAAGGACAATAATAAGGTTATCAATAATAAATGTATCAATAATAAAGGACAATATAAGGTTATCAATAATAAATGTATCAATAATAAAGGACAATAATAAGGTTATCAATAATAAATGTATCAATAATAAAGGACAATAATAAGGTTATCAATAATAAATGTATCAATAATAAAGTTATACATTATAAAGGACAATAATAAGGTTATCAATAATAAATGTATCAATAATAAAAGGACACAAATAAGTTATCAATAATAAATGTATCAATAATAAAGTTATACATTATAAAGGACAATAATAAGGTTATCAATAATAAATGTATCAATAATAAAGTTATACATTATAAAGGACAATAATAACGTTATCAATAATAACTTATCACATGTTAACATCTCCACACCTGATTTATATGGTTAATACCACACAACTAGAAAGAGAAGAACATGGACAAAAATAAAGTGATCATTAAAGTTACAGGTTCCTTTTTACTGATGCCCATTTCTGATGGCAGGTTTTTATGATAGCATGTTAATATCCAATACCAACTACTGTTAACTACTTAATAAAATACTTTTTATGATCAGTCTAACACGAAGACGTTGATTTCTCTCTTATAAGAAAACCCCCCACATTCATTTCAACAACGTTTTACTATGTTGATTGCTCGCACTAGTGTGTGTGTGTGAGTGTGTATGTGTGTGTGTGAGTGTGTATGTGTGTGTGTGCGTTAATTGCTTGCAGTAGGTTAGTAGCTGTTAGTGTTCTCTCTGTCTGAAGTGTTAACACAGCCATTTACCTCATTCTCTCCTACTCCCTCCTTCACTCTCTCCACCTCTCTCCTTCACTCTCTCCACCTCTCCACCTCTCTCCTACACTCTCTCCACCTCTCCTCTCTACTTCACTCTCTTCACCTCTTCTCCCTCCTTCACTCTCTCCACCTCTCTTTCTCTCTCCTTCACTCTCTCCAACTGTCCTTCTCTCTCCTGCACTCTCTCCACCTCTCCTTCTCACTCCTTCACTCTCTCTACCTCTCTTTCTCTCTCCTTCACTCTCTCCACCTCTCCCTCTCTCTCCTTCACTCTTTCCACCTCTCCTTCTCACTCCTACACTCTCTCTACCTCTCTTTCTCACTCCTTCACTGTCCACCTCTCTTTCTCTCTCCTTCACTATCTCCACCTCTCCTTCTCTCTCCTTCACTCTCTCCACCTCTCCTTCACTCTCTCCACCTCTCTTTCTCTCTCCTTCACTCTCTCATCTCTCTTTCTATCTCCTTCACCCTCTCCACCTCTCCTTCTCTCTCCTTCACTCTCTCCATCTCTCTCCTTCACTCTCTCCACCTCTCCTCTCTC